TTTTTTTTTTTAATGAGTCACTTGGCTTTATGAAGGAGGAAGAGGTCAATTCTTTACATAAAACACCTTAAACATCTGTGAATCCTAGAGTTTAACAGAGAAAAAAATCACATTAAGTTCTTTAACTGCCAAAATCTATTTTCTTATCTATACTGTACCCTGTGCTATTACATTTGCACAACAGCCAAGTTAAAGATAGAAAGGCCGATCAAATAACCTCCACTGAATGTAAGGGTCAAAGCAGAATTGATCCATATAATAGGCCTAACCCTGATCTTGGTTGAAAATATATTTAGTCTATAAAGTCAGCCTTGTTCTTTTAAGTCAGTGTTCTCCAACCCTGAATACATATTAGAATGAGGTTTTTTTTAAATATACTGGTGCCCCAATCCTGCTCCAGAAATGAAATCAGAATCTCATTAGAATAGGAACGGGCTGGTTGAGGGTCAGCTAGAGTTGAAAACCTCTGGTCTAATAAGCGCTTTTTGTTATCCAGTTTCAAATGCCCCAACGTGATGTCACTTTCATATTTTCCTATGGAAGGAATACTCCCAGTCCCAATACTCATAGCGACAATGGTAAGAAACATCATACTTTTACAAGCTGAATGAATTTACTACTTCTTGGATACAAAGCAGATATTCTTAAGTCACAAATACTACACTTAAATACTAACCATTAAAATTTTTTTTTAATTTTTTGAAAACTTCATAGAACCATGAACATATAACTATGCAATGCTCATTTAATTATAGCTTAAGTAATAAACTATTTTCAAAAACCTATCTTCCACTGAATAGTAGCCAGTCTTATAAAATATTTGATTTTTGGAATTTTCCCATAGATAGAAGTAAGAAAAGGCAAATAAAGAAACCAGAAGTAACAGATACCCTATTACACAGGTATCTGAAATCAGTTCAAAGGGGAGTTTCCACTGCTCAGAGGACAAAGGACTTCTCAGAAATATTACTGCAATCATATTGCTCATTTCTTACTCAACCCGGTACTGCTGAAACGGATGTTGCTATGTTCCCACCTTAACTGCCTTATGTGTTGTTCCTGTGACAGCTGGAGTCAACAAAGATAAGTTTGGCTCCTGGAAAAACCAAAATGTCAGCCTTCTTTATTTTTAAACTCGCTCTAGAATTCTCCTATATTATCTGATCCTATGAATTTGACAATAGCTGCATATTAGGTAAAGCTAGAGAAGGAGTAACTAAGCCTGGTCTAAACCGTGTGCGGAAGTAAACATAACAATAAAAACACATTCTATGCAGTTTTTAGATTTTATAAAAATCTACTCACGTTCAAAGTAGGCTTACACTAAAGATTTCAAGACCAAAAAAATGCATAATATTCTAATGTTTTGAAAAAAATGCTTTAATGTTTAATTTTTTTTTTTTGAGAGAGAGAGAGAGAGAGAGAGACAGAACATGAGTGGGGAAAGGGTAGAAAGAGAGAGGGAGACACAGAATCTGAAGCAGGCTCAGGGTCTGAGCTGTCAGCACAGACCCCAACGTGGGGCTCGAACTCTCAAACTGTGAGATCATGACCTGAGCAGACTGAGCCACCCAGGCGCCCAAGGCATAATATTCTAATTAAACCTAGGTGGCCTAGCTGGGAAAACACTTCCGATTCCTTTTCTACAAACTTCTTAATTAAAAAGAAATTAACAGCTGCTACAGTAACGCTAAGGACATATGAAAGGATGGAGGAAATTTTGATTTTGTGTTTCTGTTTTCAGGTCAATGAATTGTAACCAAGTATTACCAGGTGAATAGTATAAACTTACATGATTTATCGCAGACTGAACAGCCTTTACGTAATGGCTTAGTTCCCGATCCATCATGGCCAATTCAACCATTGCCTTGTCCATACTGTATTCACTACTCACTTCAGCTGAAAGAAAAAGAAAGCAATTATTGTTTTCAATTTAAAATGTCATCTCTGAAAAAGCTGCTCCAATCTAATTATTATCAGTCAAGGATCTAAGCAATTTTGTAAAAGGTAGTACATGTTGTCTGAAGACCTCCTTAACATATGTCTGTTTCACTCAAAATTCTAAGAATATACTTGGTAGAAGAAGGCTCAAAAGTTGGAGTGGAAAAAAAAAGCAGACTCAGACCTAGGAGTTCCTAAGATTGTGCCACTTAGTTGTATGATCTTAAACCAACCACGACACTTCGCTCAGCCTCAGTTTCCTTTTTGGTTAAAGCAGCCCAGTCATGTATCTGCAAATGAACCTCATGGGATTATTAAAGATCAAATAAGAAAGATTTTCATTTCTAGTAGGTTAGGTTATGTGGACCAATTCTACTGAAAACCACGAAAACAATCAGATAAAACAGGAAGGAAGGAGGGTGGAAGGAAGGAAGGAAGGAAGGAAGGAAGGAAGGAAGGAAGGAAGGAAGGAAGGAATGGGAGGGAGGGAGAATTCTTAAAAACAAGAGTCACAAGATAGAAACAATCAGGCAAAATCTAAAGAAAACGGAAAAAGAAAAGCAGAGCACAGAACGCCAAAGTTGCATAGCCTGCCCCCAGGCAGATGGGTCTCTACTCCTCGGAATAGAGGAACCAGAGGTAATGCCACCCTGTTCTTCCGGGCTGTGGCAAGGTTGGCCTTAGCCACTGAGCAGGACAGAGGTAAGAGGGAGAGACAACAAACCTGTTTCTTAAAAAGTGTGACCACAAGCCAGTTCTCCTGGTTCTGCAGCCTAGGCTGCCCTGGGGGACCTAAGCTCTGATCTTGGCGTGAGGTGGTCTCACCCCGAAAGCACACACAGGTACTCCCCTCTGGAGGAGACATTTTAATCCTAGGTCTCAAATAATCCCTGCAAGTAATTATGAAGGAGAATGAGCAGATCACAGGGGGGAAAGGTAAAACAACAAAAAACCTTACAAACACAAGAAAACAAGACACCAAGAGTAAGAATCAGCAGAAACAGATCCACAAATGTTTCAGAGACTGGAATATTCTACCAGTTACTGGAATTCTACTAGTCAGAATATGAAACAACTATGCTTACTCTGTTGATAAAATACCTGATGCAACAAGAGACTATGAAGAATGACTGGAACACCGGAAAAGCAGGGTAATGTTCTTAAGTGCTTTTAAATGTATTTTTCCCCCCAATCTCTAAACATACAATTTAATAGATCAGGAAAAGATCAAGAGCGTGAAATAATGCAAATGTTAACATTAAAAGAGCTGAACAAAAAGAAAGTAAAACTAACTTGCGAAATCACATTTGGGAATGCACATAGTCCATTCACATACCTTAGCTCACACAAATGTCAGTATTTCTTGTCTACTCTGAAGAACAATGTGACAGATCATCCCAAAGTCATGAAATAACGGAAAACGCACTTACGTCTTGGCTTTTGAAAGTGATTTTCCTAGACTTTAAAGTGGTGTTTTGATCTTACAGTAGTCAGTGATGAGCACATTTTAGAAAGAGTCTCCTGGATAAACCTGCTTCTGGTAGAATGCCTCCTAGCTTGTTAACACCCAGAATCCACACTGTATCTGTACGCGTATCTCATTACAGGGGTTTTCGTTTGTTTTTGAGGAAGGGAAAGGGGCAATGTTTATGTAAGAAAAACCTGTATTTACATTCCCCAAATTAAATACATTTTTAACAAAATGGTGTATGAGAAAGGACTCAAGTCATATTCCAAATAAAACTGTTAGACTGTCACTCACAGGTCAGTGTTGTGAAATGTCCACATGTTAACAAGGGAGACAAGCTGTTGAGGTGTTGCTGATACCAACATGGATCCGGTGCTATGCAGACAACAACTGTTTGGTTTGTGACTTATATAAGGCAGGCATTTTACTGCGTCTGATTAATCAGTGGAATTCAATACACTGTTAGCAATCTCCCTCTGGGATTAAATGACTTTATTTTAGAAAGCAAGTAAAAATGTGCCTTTGACATTAAAAATGCTATGAAAGAGTTTGCAAAATAAAATAAATGGGATCACAGTTTTCATTATCAAGGTCCCACAGATGCTAGCCAGACTTGAACCAGATGGCAATCTCAGATATAAGGCCAAGGAAACCTTCCCCACAAAGGAGAAAACGAGTGATAGCTGCTGGGTCGGGGTTGGACGGCATGAAGCCTGAGGGAAGAATCTTTGGAGGCCATCTGTGGCTTCCTGCAGCCTCACCTAAGGCTCCAGGGCTCAAAGAATGTTGGGACAAGCAGAAGAACCTAAGTGATGAATAGTGCAGCCTGAGGCAAGAGAGGGAAAACACCAGAAAAGATCAGGAAGCTAGTCCGAGAGGAACTGAGAATCACACTCCACCTGAAGGTGACGCCCAGTGCCCAGTCCGCTAACTTCGGGCTAAAGGCAGGGTCTGGGGCCGCTGTAGAGCCACAAAAAGGGCTGTAGACCAGAGACCTAAAACTAGAAGGAGGCCCCTTGGCAAAAGAAATCTGGAAGAAAGGCCAGGAGGACATCCCCGTCAAGTAGCAATCTTTAGGATTCTTTCGTGTTCTTCTTGTTAACCTTTATTTCCCAACTGCGATAATAATCTCTTTTAACACTGTGATATGTATTCACGTTTCAGAAACGGCACAGGGAACCTGTGTCCTGCCCTACGAAAGAATCAACGTGAGGAAAGAGCACAGTGTTGCATGGAAAAGGCAAACAGGCCAAAATAAATCCCCCAAAGGATTCAAGAGGAACTGGGAATGACCAAGGACACACGGGGCTGGCTGTTGTCTGAAGAGTGGGCGTGGGCTGGGGTGGGTATGTGGACAGCCTGCTCTTTTACTACACAATATATCATCCCACTATCAAAATTTCCCCAGCCTACAGGAAAGTCCTGAAAATCTACACCAAACTAAATCCTACACATCCTTCAAGGGATGAACTCAAGCCCTACCTGCTTTTTTTTTTTTAATTTTTAGCATTTATTCATTTTTGAAAGGCAGAGAGAGAGAGAGAGACAGAGTGCGAATGGGAGAGGGGCAGAGAGAGAGGGAGACACTGAAACAGAAGCAGGCTCTGAGCTGTCAGCACAGAGCCCGACGTGGGGCTCAAACTCATGGACCGCGAGACCATGACCTGAGCTGAAGTTGGCCCCTTAACTGACTGAGCCACCCGGGAGACCCCCCCCCTTTTTTTTTAACGTTTGTTTATTTTTTTTGAGAGAGAGAGAGAGACAGAGAACCAGTGGGGGAGAGGCAGAGAGAGAGGGAGACACAGAATCCGAAGCAGGCTCCAGGCTCTGAGCTGTCAGCACAGAGCCCGACTTGGGGCTCGAACTCACAAGCTGTGAGATCATGACCTGAGTCGAAGTCGGGGGCTTAACTGACTGAGCCATCCAGGCGCCCCTGCCCTACCTGCTTCTAAACCATACCAGCCTAGGAGGATCTCCTCCTTCACTTAATTTCTCTTAACAACTATACTTGATACTTTGGTACTTTTAACCACAAACAATCTTGTTTTCTTACATGCATTTGTCTCTCCAAACACAGTTGAACTCATTTGACCGCAAGAACGATGCCTTAATGATCCTGGGATCCAATAAAGAATTATAGCGCCTCTTCCATCAATGTTCTCACATGCCGTTAATAAATTTGAAAATTAAAATTTCGCCAAACTGTGAATTGTCCTGCCTCAGATATTGTATTGAATTAAAATGTAAGGAAGAGGGACATCTGGGTGGCTCAGTCAGTTAAGTGTTGACTCTTGATTTCGGCTCAGGTCACCATCTCATGGTTTGTGAGACTGAGCCCTGCGTTGGGCTCTACGCCGACAGCTCGGAGCCTGCGTGGGGTTCTCCTCCCACACACACATTCTCTCTCTCAAAAGAAATATTCAAAAAATAAAATGTAAAGACGACACATGATATCAACTGCTTTGCCTATTACATTTTCATTGTGACTTCCATCGGAAAAAGACTGGCACCAACACGTGGAGGCAAGGTAGGCGGGCGAGGGGGGGAGAAGCACACAAATCATGTTAAAATGTACAGAATGACAATCTCGGAGAGGAAATTATTACTGTACCACAAAAGCCTGGCATTACAAGAGATCGGTGAGGATGATAAAGCATGGAAAGCAATAACAAACGATGAAAAAAATACGTAATAATAATAGCTGTAGCTAACAATTAGTAAGCACTTTATTATGTGCCAAGACTATACTGAGCACACCATTTACAGTAAACCTCACAACAACTTTTTTATATGTACCTTACACATGAGAAAAGCGAAAAACTGAGCAGCGGAAGAAGCTTGCTCAGCACCATGAAGGTAGTGAGCGCACAGCTAGGTGGCCAACTCAGGCTTCCCGGTGGCAAAGTCTGTGCGCTTGCCCATCTGTGCTAACAGGTGCTTAAACAGGAGGAGAAGGAAGCACCTCCAAGTCCTCCTCCGTGACTATCCAGGGAACAAGCCGTCGGTGGGGACGAAGTCCTGGCCCCAAGCTTCATCTCAGCCCCTGATCCATTCTAAGTAAGGTACTGGCTATGCCACTCAAATGCTATCGGAGTTCCTTAACATAGACGAAACCGATAACAGAAAGAAAATGATTGTTCCCTTTTAGAAGATTACTAAGTTTTCATGTCGGTGAAGAGAGTGACCTTGCACATCAGCAAGGCCAGTTGGAGAGGCTGGGAGCGCAACCAAGTCACCCGCCAAATGCTAGGAGATAAGGAAATGGACTCCAGCTGCTAAGAAATCAAACCTGCATGAGGTCAAAAGCAGCAGCAGCAGCAGCAGCAGCAGCAGCAGCAGCAAGAGACACGGAAGCAGCAGCCAGGCAAGCACAGCAGCGAAGCAATGCTCAAGGGGAAGGGAGGGAAAAGTCCTGGAGTCTTCATGTTGCAGAGATACTTCTGAGCGGAGCCTGTGGCAAACCATTTCTATCACCTGCGCCTCTGACTGC